GTGGCCACTGTGCAACTTCGACAATCGTCGCTCTCTCAATTGGCTCGGTTTGTTCCATTTGGTGGCACATTTGCTGTTGATACTGAGCTGCTATCACTTGATAATCTGCTGAGATTTATGGTTCTCTGGAAGTATGCTGCAATCGTGACACTTTCAGCAATAGCGAGGCGTAAATATTTGAAGATTTGCATTGTGATTGCTCTATTCAGACGCTAAGAGACGACCTGCCCCATTCCACGAAGCTTGTGGGGACTGTAAACGCTCAGCCACCTGTCGGAGCACACACATTTACGCATCAATTGAAACAATCGGCGAGCCTTTACGAAGTCACATGTTGAAGGAGATCTCAAGTGGCTGCTGTTGTAAAGAGCTATTGGATTATTTTCTCTACCTTTGTGTCTATCACCAGCTCTACAGTCCACCCACTTGTCGTCGCAGTTCAGCCCTGGTGCCGTCTGAGAGTGCTCCTTGCAGCTTTGACCTCACTCTGCAATTTGCAGCAACCCTCTCAAGCCCTCTTCGACCTTCAAGTCTTCTTCGCCAAAGTCTTCTTCGCCAAGGTGAACTTCGCTTTACAAGTAACCAAAACTGTCCCACTCCATGCGCCAAGACGACTAACTACCAAGCACACAGAAGTCTCGAGCCGGAACGTCCATCTTGCACGCCACGAGACATGCACCCATTTCCTCCACCGCGACCTCACTCTGCAGAGTCCACTTGGGTCAGCTCGTCGACTTGGGCCAGAAGATGAACAACGTAGCCTAGATCTCACGTAGTGCACTCGGACATCGCCAAGAAGAAGGAATCCAGCCGGCTTCGACAGCATCAAGCACTCCAGAGAACGAAGCGAGGACGACACGGAGCACAGCGTACTAGTCCTTGATAGTACCATGCGTCTCCGTCTAAAGAGAAGCATCGACCTGTATCTAGAGAGTCGACTCGAGCGCTCCAGACATTAATTGCTGCTGCGTGTACTCCCACAGCACCAGAGCCCCGCTCACGTGCACATTCAGTGAGCGTACCAGGCCAAACTGGGGGATTTCCACACACACGTCAACAAGCTGCAGCACTTCGACCGGGATCCCTTCCTTCTCTCGCCCCAACACCAGCACCATCTTACGGGGCAGCGTGTAGCTCGCGAGACTCACACTGGACGCCGTTTGCTCCACTGCCACAATCGTGTAGTCCTCGCGCTTCCATCGCACAAGTGCTCGTCGTAAATCGTCACCTTGAGGTCGCACTTCTTCCAGTGGCATCCACTTGTGAGCCGTGGCGCTGACATTCACGAACGTGACGTCCTGCTGCGTCATCCGCAGGTTCGGCACGACCAGTTTCTGAGCGTTGAAGATCTCGCAAGTCCGTGCCAGTCCAGCCAGATTCGGGACCTTGTCCACCAAGCTTGCACACATGATAAGAGGCTGTCGAGGTCGTTGACGGTAGCGACGAGCACTGAGATTGAACCGTGGTACTGAAAGCCGATCCGCTTTCTGCCGCTCAGTGTCACTTCAGATTTGGCGACTTTAAGACGCAGTCGGAGACCCTCTCCGGTCTCTTCGACATTCGATCGTACAATTCCTGTGTGTTCTTCATCATGGTGTGTGCTGCCTTATGCCAGCTGGTCGCTAACAAGCCCTATCATAGCACACTCGTTTACTGCGCCGATACCGACAGAGACCATGTTGTTCTAGTATGTAACACGCCATCGGGTCTGGACGAAGACCGACCTGTCAGCCCGAGAACAAGGACGCGCTCGCGCAACTCAACGATTACGAGGTAGGTCTGCAGAATAGTGACCACTTGTCCTATCCGATTTCACATGTATGCATCGGTCGATTGTGTTCCGTCAGACCCGCCCCATTTGGATCCAAGACTACTCAAACCACAGCTACCCAGTGGATCAGGCTCGATCCGGCAGCACCTCGGTGTATGTAGCAACAGTGACAACCACTACAAAGGTCAGTGTCAAGGACACGACTGCAGAGCACTGCAGCAACCCTACCGCCCTCACGGCTCTTCAGTGTCTTGACCCCAGTGCACGAGATCTACAACTGTAGCCGGGCGCCGATCTGGTGGCGGCACCAGTGACTGCAACCTCTGACCACTTCAAGACTGCCGTCAACCTAAAATGAACGGGCAACAAGGCGCGCGTGGGCAGCACTGTGCCACCGACCGCTTCGATCGATCGTGTACTTACGGTGAAGACTAGTACGGTGGTACACTGTGTACAAATGTTGCATCATCAAGAAAGCATTCAACAATCAAGTACTACATCTACACGTCCGGAGATTGCGCCAGTAACAAAGATCTAAAGAAGATCGTCTACTAGATCTACAGCAAGCACCGCTTCATGTCGACTATGACTGTACCTCTACAATCCCAAAAAAGGAAAGCATGCCTTGCCGCAAGGGCACGGGCTACCGGAAGTCTACACAAAGATATTATTCTTGTGTGCATCGGGCGTCGGCGGAGGAAGGCGCCGCGATATGATTCACATGGGAGTTTTGTCCTTTCCTGGGTCAGCTGCTATAAGCTGTGATGTCGGTGCAAGGACTGCGTTAAGATCGA